GGCGGGAGCCCGTGCCTTTAGGGAGAGCCCTGCGTGGGAGCCCGTGCCTTTAGGGAGAGCCCTGTGTGGGAGCCCCTGCCTTTAGGGAGAGCCCTGCGTGGGAGCCCGTGCCTTTAGGGAGAGCCCTGTGTGGGAGCCCCTGCCTTTAGGGAGAGCCCTGCGTGGGCCTTGTGCGCCTTTTCTGTCACAGAGTGACGCTTTAACGCCTTTTGGCCTTTAATACTTTTCTGGCACGGCTGTGTGCCATGAGATGCACGTCACTGGGGTGTGAACAGCAGGGCAAACGCTAGCGACAGGTACAGATGTTAAGCCTGACAAAAGTGAGGTAGCACGATTACCTTGCCGGCAGGTGACGGTTTGTTGGGGGTTTTTTGGGGGGGAGGACACGGATGTGTGGCTACAGTCCAAGGTTTTCAGCTTCTGCTGCATGTGTAGCACTTGGGGAGGCTGTTTCACAGGGGTGGCTCCTCCAGGTAGGGGTCAGTTGCGCCAATAACCGCAAAATAGTAGCACGTTACAGAAGAGTTGATGCTCTTTGCGGTTAAGCTTCTGGTTGTTCTAGTTCCAGTGTTCTTAGTCTGTTGTTTTTTTCTTTGCAGCGATGATAGTCTCTTCGTGTATGACTGCATCAATGCGGAGAAGGTGACCTTAGGAAATAAAGGGTGAGAAAATCTGCTTAGGCAATCCGCTGTTTTCCTAGAGGGTGCATCTCCTCCTGAGGTTATGTGGCAGGGAAGATAATACAAGTAAGTCACGGGATTACTCCTTGATCAGGTGATGGCTAGGTTGTTTTTGCTAACCCTGATATATAGGTATGTATTTTTTTGTTTCTGTTTCATCCCAAAGGGCAGACCGTACACCTTTTCCTTTTTTAAGGAAACGCCAGTAGTATAATCAGTGATTCTGTATGACTTTTTTCAGTCAAGATGTTTACAGAAAAATGCTACATTTTCTATAGGATCATCAAAGATGATTAGGAAAAGAACACAAAACGGTGGGGTAACTCCTGCTTCAGGTCTGTTCTCTAGGTCATGAGATTTCAAAACCTGAAAAAGTCTTTTTCTTAGTTTAAACTCAACCACTGGACATTGTTTTACCTCTAGCCAGTTTTACTGTTTCCCCCTAAATTTGTATCAAGATCTGCTAGCACAAACCCTAGTGTTTTGTTTTTTTTTTTTAAGCGGGTAATAATACAGGGCTTAGACTTTATGTCAGTTTCCTTATTCTTGGCTTTTTTCTTTGCATTAATGTTCAAGTTGGCTCAACATTTTAAGCACAAATAAAACTATTAGCGTTGTACTTTGTTCTTCATGATTCTTCTTGGTCATGTGAGAACAACCTTCTCTCCTTAAAGGATTTCAGTAACTCTTAGTTGTGAACTGTTCCCCTTCTCTCTATTAGGCAGGATGGAAAATCAACAGATAAAGGAAGTGATGATATCCTAGCTTTTGCCTTCTCCCCATCAGGAGATTATTTAGCCGTGACAGATGACAGCAAACGTCTGATTCTGTTCCGTACGAAGCCTTCCTGGGAATGTGTTAGTGTCAGGTAAGGAAGCAGGGTGTTGCGTATCACTTTGTTATGGAGTTATGGCTGATTAGTTTAGAGTTATAAAATAGTAGTACTTGGGATGTTGCCATTTGTTACCACTAAGCTTCCTCTTCTTTTTTTTTTTTTTTTTTTTTCCTCCTTGTACTTGATCAAACAAATTTAATGTTCTTGGGAATTCAAAGATACTTGTCAAGAAGTGATGTGTGGTATGCCCCACACCAAGAATGGGAGCGCAGATGTTTATATCATTGGCCAAGGAAAGGATAATCTCTTTCCTTATGCCAAAAGACTGTATTTGCATCTTTAAGAACTGAAACTTTACCCACCCCTAGTGAACACTAAGGTTGGGCCTGCAGGAGCGATACCAAATGGTTTAGTGAATGCACTGTCTGTTTCCGTTGATTTGGAGGAGAAGATGTTTTGGGGAGTTTGTGAACTCTCTTAAAAGCATATCTTTAAAGACGCTGCCAACACTGTTTCCCTTCTGTAGTATGGTCCTCTTGAGAAAACAGTCTGTAGCTGTCCACCAGAGGTCCTCCAGTTACAAGTTTTCTGCTGCTGACTATGACAATTGTCTGTAAAAAAGAGGACCATGAAGGACGTCCTGAGAAAGTACCTCAGCACATGATGCCTCTGCTTCTGGTGGTCTCCGACAGACGTGAGGCCCTGGTTGCAAAACAAAATGGAGTCTCCGTCAGCTTGGCTATGTGTGTAGGGTACATAATGTACCTTTGGTGGGTTAACCAATGTTGTAGTAAGTAAGTAATCAACAACAAAAACAGAAATGGCAAATTCTGTTTGTTCTGTCTTCCCTGCTGCCCGGCCCTGTATGTCTTGCCTGTAATATGCCATTGGGTAGTTGTTTGATGTTTCAGTTTTCTGCTAGAAGATCATCTAGGACCACAGCTGGATTTTTTGGGAATGTTGCTACCTCCTATTAGGAAACTGGGAATACAGGCAAAAGGGTCTCTGCATGAAAAAAAAGAATGCCAAAGTTGAGCTGTGTGATTTGTGTTGGTGTTTTGTGGCAAGCTGTGTAAAAGGTTTCACACGGTGCTAGCTTTTGTAGTCAGCGCATTTCAGACAAGGGGAGTTTTTGAATCTTTGTGTTTAAGATCAAAGGCAGTACAACAAACTTGGAGCAAGACTTGTTGGCAAGGTAACCTATTTTGAAACTGTGCTGTCTGAGCCTGCAATGTGTTAGTAGGCATTCTTGTCCTATATGTTTTCCCATTGTTACGGTGTTCCTTTAAACAGTCATTAAAAAGTATTAGAATTTCCGTCTTCCTACCAGAAGTACAGTGTATTATTCTTTTGTCTCCAGACTGTCACTGAATTTCAGAGTAGGTGAATAGAAATGTCCATTCCCTATGATCCCTGGTGTCCACAGTCCTATGTTAACATGCAGGACATAGAGGGGTTTGGAAAAGAGGTGTTATGAAAAGAATAACAGTAATAGCAATAGCTGTTAAGTTGCAGAAGCATTCTTCAGACTAAGTGATTAAAACTTTTTAAAACTCGTTTTCTGACATATATGGTCCTCACCTGAAAAGTTGTAGGAAAACCATTACCTGCTACACTGGCAGCTGGAACTTTAAGATATTGGCAGATGATGAGGAAAAGTCAGAGTTCAAGTTCAGGGCTTTGCCTGGACAACGTACCCTGAGACTGTGGCTCTCTGACTCTGGATACGAGGAGGAAGAGTCCTTGAGGTTCACAAGGAAGGGCTTCCTTCTACAGTACGAAGTGGCAACTGGAGAAGTAGTTTCAACCCAGTTTTTAGATGTGTTGCTGTAAAGGACTTTTACTAGGAGAACTCCTGCCTTGTCTTTTCTTTTCTACATGTTTAACATGTATTTTCATAATGGAGAGTGCAAGAAAGTTTACCAGCTTTCTTTAGAGTACTGGCAGGCTGCCTAGGCAAAATGCTTAGTTGAGAAAGTACCTAAGCAAAATGCAGGCATTACAGCTTTAATGGTCCCTCCTTTTTTTCTTCCCCTCCCACCCGAGTCTTTGCCATTGCATGGTTTAATCATTTAGTAGGTCTCAAAAGTGCTATTTTGGCCCCATACCCTCCCTTAACATTATTATCATTGCTGCCATTTCAAGAATGTTGCATCTGAGAGCTTTTTATCCAGTCTCTTGGTCTATTTAACTGGGTCTGAATCCAGACTTGCTGAAGCTGCCATCCAGAGCTGTTCAAACTGTGCCATTTTTCTTTCAGGTCCGTGAACAGGAGATGCACTTCCCTGGTTATTACAGCTGCAGAAGATAAGATTCTGGTTGCAGACAAGTCTGGTGATGTCTATTCTTACTCAATAACAGAACCCCAAGCAGATGGAAAACTTCAGCTGGGTCACTTGTCTCTGATACTGGATGTGGTAAGTATGCCTTGTGTTCAGGTCTTTCATTGTTGCTCTCATCCCAGATTTGGGATTTATTTCTATATATAAATGAAGTACGTGATCTGAGTTTGTCTGCAGAGTTCGGTAAGGAAACAAGCTTACAAGGGTTATCTGTTCTAGGAGTGTGAGTATTCAAAAAGTCTTCGTGTTACAGTCACAGCAGACTTGGCGATGGAATGTATATGGGAATGGACCCACTCTGTCATGTCAGTTGAGCTCTTCAGTGTCATAAATTTCTTTCTTTCTAGGGTACAGTGGGACTTCTGAGGGTACCATTGGAGCTCAGTGGCTTTCACTGGACATGGTAGTCAGTGTCGCTTGTCTTAGTGAGCGAAAAAGTTACTGTCATAAAGATTTATGCTTCTGTTGTTGGTGTAAAAGCGTGGCTTAATGCTTGCACCTGCCATTCAGAGTCAGGAGAAACAGATAGTTTACTGCTTATCTTTTTTTCTCCTGGTTAGGAAGAATTACATGAAAACAAGCATTGAACTACTGGGCACTAAAACTCTCCCTTTACCAACAGGCGCTGAGTCCTGATGACCGGTATATCCTAACTGCAGACCGAGATGAGAAGATCAGAGTCAGCTTGGCAAAGGCTCCTTATTATATTGTATCCTACTGTCTGGGACACAAAGAGTAAGTTTGTTGTGTGCAAAAGTTATTGTGCGCAGCCCTTCACTGTGCCTCAGTAGAAATGATTGTCTCCTCAAATCACTTTAAACAATAGCTAGGTCTATGTTAGAATCATGGAATAGTTTGCACTGGAAGGGACCTTTAAAGGTCACCTAGTCCAACCTGTCTGCATCGTGCAGGGATACCTTCTACTAGATCAGGTTGCTCAGAGCCCCGTCCAGCCTGACCTTGGATGTTTCCAGGGATGGGGCATCGACCACCTCCCTGAGCAACCTGTTCCAGTGTTTCACCACCCTCACTGTAAAAAATTTCTTCCTTATATCTAGACTGAATCGACTCTCTTTTAGTTTAAAACCATTACCTGTCCTATTACAATGGGCCCTATAAAAAAGCCTGTTCCCATCTTTCTTATAAGCCCCCTTTAAGTACTGAAAGGCCGTGTAAGGTCTCTCTGGAGTCTTCTCTTCTCCAGGCTGAACAACCTCAACTCTCTCAGCCTGTCCTCACAGGAGAGGTGCTCCAGCCCTCTGATCATCTTTGTAGCCCTCCTCTGGACCTGCTCCAACAGGTCCGTGTCTTTCCTGTGCTGAGGATCTTAGAGCTGGATGTAGGGCTCCAGGTGGGGTCTCGCCAGAGTGGAGTAGAGGGGCAGAATCACCTCCCTCAACTGGCTGGCCACAAGAGACTCCACAAGAGCCTGGAGGTTGTTACTTCAGGATGGAGTCTACCTTAGTCTTAGGAAGGGGAGTCTTAGGAAGTCATTGTGTTTTGAGCGGATGCTGATCTAATGGCATCTCAATGCAGAGCTCAGACTTGGAGGTTCTGTGGTAATACAAAAAAAAAAGGCTGTATCAGTAGGAAGGATAGAGCACTCTTTCTGCCTGGACATTAGACTGCATTGAGCTAGAGGCTGCACAGTGGTGCCACAAAACAGGTTCAAGGAATCACACTTCTTAACATAGTTACCTGGCCTTTCTAGGAGCTGAGAAAAGGGACTCGGTGTTTTTCTTGAGCTTGGTTCTGTTGCTATGGGCAAGAACGCCTAAGTAAGTAGAAGGATCTGTGGAAGGTGGATCGTAGGGGATATCCCTGTAGAAAGATGATGTGCTGCGGTGTTACTAAGTCTAGTAAAATGCAGGGTTCACTCGGCATAGAAACAGGAAAGATGATCTTTCCCTTCCTTTCCTTTTTCCTCCATCCTGAAGTGAAGGTCCTTCTAATTACAGTGATCTGAAGAGTGGAAGGCAGCAAAACAACCTGCTAGCCATACTGATGTGATTCAGATGTGCTCTGACTTGCTAGGAGACTGGTAGTTCTTTTGGTATAGGAATAGGGGTTGTCTTCTAGCCCGTTTATCAGGACTTCCTTTTCAGCCTACTGGAGGGACTATACTTTCCCTTTTCTTCTCAGTAGTCCTTTTCCCATGAAGAAGACTCAAATGGCAAATAGACTTCTAAAAGACTTTTCCCTCCACATTTTGCTGCTTAAAATGTCTGTCAGTTGTGGTATTTTCAAAGTCTTTTGACTCTGCCTTCCACTTCTATGTGGTTTTTGTGGGCTTTTGGAGCGGTTTTTTTGTTGTCGGTTGTTACGGTTTTTGAGTAGGGTAGGGGGGTTGTGCAAGGTTTTTTTTTTTGTGTGGCCACTGCTACATTTTGAAGTCCACAGTGACAAGGTAGCAGAGAAGACGTGACCCTGCATAGGGTTGAGAACTCACGTAATTCTGCTTGTCTGGCCGCTGAGTTACTTGGGGATAACAACACCCTTCCAGGCACGTTCTTCCATAAGATGATGCAACATGGTGCAGTCAACTCATTGTATCAGGAACAAGAGTTAAAGAAAGACGGTGTGAGTGGGGAACTTGAGATATGGGTAGCAACCTATCTCAGCTTGCCCACCAAGGTGTTTTAATAGAGCATTTAGGACACAGATTAATTTGGAGTGTCAGTCTGATTTTAATAACATCATTTCATAGTCTAACCTGTATGGAATTGGAATAGTATAAAAGCAAGAGACTACTCGTGTTAAAGATCTAAGTAGTCTTTGATCAGGTCAGTTCCTATAGCATATTTACAGAGCCATGTCTGATGTTTCTACCTGCTGTGTACACAGTTGTACTTTTTAATGAATAGAACTCGATGGTCAGAAAGACACTTTTAAAAGGGGGGGGATGTGTCTGCACAAAGAGTTGATTAGTGGCTGCAGAGTGGGAGGGCACTTAGTGTAAATTGATTGAAATATATTTTAAAATTCAATATTTAAATTAGGACTGACTAAGCAAAGGATTACATAAAGCAGTTATAATTGTCTTCTTTCGCACTCCTGGATTTTCTTCTTTCAGTGGGGTGCATGGTGATTCTTGCTGGATCTATTACACCTGCATGCACTGCCATTACTGCTTTTTCATGAAAGTGTGTGTTACAGCAACCAAATCTCTTCCTTCTATTTTTTTTCTCCTTCTTTTTTTAATGGCCTTAAAATTATGCCGGCTTTCAAAAGCAAGATTCGCCCACTTGAGTAATGTTCTGCTCAGTCACTATGTTTTAAATTGCTGAGCTAAAAACAAACTAAGTTCAGGTCTTCATTACTCAGCAAGGACAAGTCATGGTAGACACAGCAGTATTGCATGCCTCTGAAAAACAAGGTTTCTGGCAGGATGTAGACACTGATGGTAAATTGCCACATGTTTGTTTTAAAATTTTGTAGATGGCTTTTGAATTATCTCCAACTGTGATGGGAGAGATGTGGTACTCTGAAAGCTGAGTCATCACTGTTGTTGTGTTTTAAAAGCATCTGCTGATTCATGTTTTTAATGTGCATCATGAATTGAGAAAGGGTAACATGCTACTGGAGTACATCTGTCTTCATTGGCATTTTTTGGTCTAAATGGCAGTGTTCTCAGATGGGAGGAAGTCAATAGAATTCCATGAGTGCAGATGGGGAAATATTCTTTTTCTCTATTAAGTAGCAAGTCAGTAGTTTGTTTAGTATATATACTATATTAAGTATTGCAGACATTTTTTTTTCTTCCTTCCAATTAGCTTGATGTGGAGAATCTGTTTGTTTACTATAAGGTTCTCTTTAAAATTTGTGTTTTCTCTTACTGTGTGTGTTTAAAGACAAGTGTCATGCAAGAGAGTTCAACTTTTGACTATTTTCCCTTCAGGTTTGTAAGCAAAATACTGGTAATACCCAATTATCCTGATCTGCTGTTGTCAGCTTCTGGGGTATGTATTGCAATTTCTTCCAAAAAAAGTATTTTTCTCAAAAATTTAGACTTTAAAACGACTATTTGCTTATGTTTCCCCCAAGTTGCTTGGGATACTTGGAATAATCTCTCATGGTTTACAGCATGCCCTCTCTCCCTCCTTCCCCCTTTTCTCAGCTTTCTGTTCAGTGTTCATCCCTTCTGTTGCTAGATCATTTAAGAACTGTTTACTGTGTTTATAGCAAGGCTAGCTTTTTATTAAGATCTTTGGGATGGAGTAATCATGAAGTCCTCAGTATTTCTTAATCATTAAATCTTGCCTTGGAACACAGACAAGCTTTAATCATTGGACTATTAAACAACTTTGAAGTGAATGGGTATTTTGCCAGCCTGCCATGATAATGAGCATCTTGAGAATGAATGGCTTTAGAATCACAGAGCTTTTAAGATGAGAAAATTGTTCCCTCTACACCCTCCCACTTGCTTTCCCCTGTGAGACTTGTTCTGAATTATGTCCTTGTCTGTATGTCCTCATAGTATGTCCAGTGCATGTTGTGTAGAGATTGCAGTGCAGTGCTTACACAATGCTTGGATGAGGACTGAAGAAGTGACTGTTCCCTCCTTTCCCTTCCCCCAGTCCTTTTCTTAAATTGAAGGCATCCTGCTGTCACACCAGACAGGTACAGAGTGAGTAGATGAAGTTGGTCTAGAAGAAGGGAAACAATATTCTTTGTTTCCCAGACTGCCAAAACTGCATAGGAAACAAATAATGTGAAGATTTGAAGATCCTAGTGGTTTTAGCATTTGGTTTCAGCTCCTGTTCTTGCTTCCCTGAGGCTCTTGTCTCTTGTTCCTCGAATTCTTTAAGCAACTCCAGTGTTAGTGCTGTGTGTGGCTGTGTTTCATTCTTGGAAAATGCTGTTTGATGACTCTTTTTCCAGAGAGGTGTTTAGCTTTTCTCCATGAGGTTACTAAATCAAATGTCAGTTTGGGTGATAACAAGAGTAGGGGTGGAGAAGGGCAACCTGAAAGAATTGCCATTAAAATGCTGAGCTATTATGCTCAGCTAATAATAATGCTATTAGGGTCCATGTATTACTGTGCTATTTGAAACGGACTTGAAATGCACTCCTCCAGCTACCCAATTTCCACGTCAGATGGAGAATTAAAGTTAGCATGATTAAATAATTTAGAATGGAGGGGAAAAATTATGTTAATTAAAATGCTTTATCTGCAATTTGAGGTCTTAACTAAGTGACTACTTAGCAGCTTCTGTGGGAAACTCTTCAGGGAAATAGGATTTAGCTGAAGGCCACGAGTGGCCTCTCTTTTCCGAGGTGCTGTTAGTAATAGGCTTATGTCCACTTCCATCTGTCCAGGACTCGACTCTGAGACTTTGGGAGTACAAAAGCGGAGAAGAAGTGTACTGCTGTCATCTAGATAGCGTCTGTGGGCCTGAGACAACCAAAACTGACCAGGTACGCCCATGTGTGTTAGTGCTTTTGCTATCCTCCTGATCCTTGTGACTCCCAAATGTGATTGTTGCATTTTGTTAGGAGGCCCTCTCTTCTGTTGGTGGCTTTGTAAGTTATGTGAGATCCAGAAACTGCTACAATAACCTGGGATTTCAGGAAAGGAAGAAAGTCCCTGAAATCCATTCCTGTGTCTTGTGTGCATTTCTAAAAAGTGCCAAGCAGCAACCAAAAGAAGCTGTTTGTAATTCTTTCCAGATAGAAGTTCTGCACACTGGACAAAGTCTTCACTTGAAAATTTTTGCAAAACCACAAGCACCTTAGTCTTTTAGCCAGAAAATACCTTGTAGCACTGGAAAGATCTAAAAAATCACTCGTTTTAAAAAAATACTTAAAATTTCAAGTGTTAAAGTTGCAATTTATCTGAGCAAAAAGAAGCTTTGTAACATTTGTAACCAGTCACCTGCTATAGTAGTGCTCTGTGGAGTGGAAACACTGGGCTTGTTCCTTTGCCTAAAGATGGACAGTATCCAAAATTAAAACGTGTGAGTCCTGCGTGACAACTGAATACCCCAGGAGCTCTCCTTAGCTTGCAGCCTGTATACGAGTGGTGTCATACGTACGTGTTTGGGGTGCTGCTGTGATTTGGGATGCCAGTCTGATGTGAGCAGTGGTTCTGGTAGTACTTGATCTCTGGTTTTGTTCTTTCTTGTCACAGAAATTGGCATCCAACCTGTTAGCAGTGAAACAGCACTCATTCTTGTCCCTGTTGTGTACCTCATGTTAAGCTAGCTGCTAACCTTTGGGTCATTTAAGAGTTGTTCATCTTACCACCCATCCTGCTGGCTGTGTTTTTCATGTGAATCTTGTAAAAACACTTCTTTCTCTGAAGACCACAGCTGTCTCCCAGTTGTTAGGTGACTGGGAAGCCTGTAGCCACGCATGGCTCTTGAGGCAAATCCACTGCGGAATTCATATCGAGGCTGGAATTGAATTAAAAAGTTCTGTCTTTCCTCCCTTGTGTTTTGTTGTGGTTTTGGCTTTTCAAAGTGTGTTGTGCCTGGCCTCTCCCAGCAGTCGTGAGCCATTCCTGGGGATCCTCAGAGATTCTTTGCTGTCTGTGTAGGTCTGGCCTGATCTCGTTAGTGGGATTCCCAGTTACTGAACTGGGAGGACAACCCATGGAAGGACGAAGCTCCTAGGGGCAGACCGGACAACCCAAGGTTTTTTCTGTGCAGAAGACATCAGCAAGTTGTTCTTTGTGTTGGAGTAATAATGTGAAACTTTGTGTTTGTACATAAGCCCAGGAAGGCAGCCACGTGCATTGCAGCATTCAAAGCTTAGGTTTTGGCTTAGAGTTCCTGTTAGCAGGAATTCAGAGTAGTATCTATATGGACAATTTAACCTGCTCCTGAACTTGAAAGTATACTTTAAAGCGCACCTGAGCCAGAAACCTCTTGTACACATTCACAAGGTCTCTGGCTCATTTCAGCTTGAGTCTAGTGCTTGAAGTCTTTGAAGCAGCTATTGCCTTTTTTTTTTCCCCACAAGCAATAAACAGGTGTACCAAATTAGGTGACAAACCCATCTAGCTGGTATCCTCTTACAGTCGGGGTGCAGCAGGATTTGAGTGAGGAAGGGAGAGTTAAGATTAAGGCAAACGTACAAAATTACTTTACCATGTATAGCCTTCTGGAAATCAGTGGCTCGGGGAGTTTCAAAGCCAAAGTGTTTTATCGTTGTGTTCAAAAGTAGCTAATGAGAGTGCTTTGTTGAAGCAACGTGGTTTGACAGCCATTGAATCCGTGTCTGCAGTAATGTTGCAAGGCATTTCTTTTGGAGGAAAGAATGGCTTTACTTTAAAATACTAGCTTTATTGGACCATTGAGGGCTAGTAAGCAACTAGCTGTGAAGTGGGGAATAGTACTATTAATTTTAAAAACATGACAATGCTAAGCCAGTCTAAGCAACTAGTAAGATAGCTTACATGTAAATTAATGGTGCTTGATCTCACACTAATCCTAACTCCATTGCTTATAAGCAAGTTTATCGAAAAATAATATTAAATTATATAATAAACATTGAACGTAGCATTGGATAAACTAACCAATGTTAGGGGAAAAAAGCTTGTTGCTGCAAGCAGGAGCTGATTTGAAAAATAATCTCCAACTCTTAGTTTTTGAAGGGGTTTGAGTGAAGTTTAGTAATACTTTCCTTGTCTGCTAATACACCTGATAAAGTCCTTTCCACAGGATGCTCTTTTTGCTGATGGAGTCTCTGTAGAAATTTGGGGTGCCCTTTGACTGTTTGAGGAGTCTCTAGCTGCTTTCCCTCGGTGTGAGTAAGCAGTGACAGAAAGGGAAAGCCCATAAACTGTGGGATAATAATAATACAGTCAATAAACTGTATTCCTGCAGTTTAATGGTGGTCTTGGAAGCCTTAGGCTGGCCTGTTCCTTGAATCTATGGAATTCTGCTTACTGCCCAGTCTTACAGGTGTTTTAAAATCTGTCTCTGATGACACCAAATTGGGATGATGCTTGAGGGGTGCAGAAGACTCAGTGGACTTCCAGAGTTTGTATGTACTTGGAACAGTGATCAGGCAGTGTCCCAGTGATTACAGACAGATAAACAACAGATTTAAACCTTAATGCAGTGCATTGCCACCTTTCTGCTGTATTGCTACATGGCTGTCAATATGTACTTTTTTCAGAACAATTACTGTCTCACTGGCCAGCAGGACCAAAGGGGAAAAGGGGACTTTTGTTTTGCTGGCATCATCGTGCTAAAAATGCCAGAGATGACATCTGGTGGTAGTATTTAGTCGTGCTGCACATCCAGGAGTATCAAAGATCATCTTCACAACCTAGTGTGACATTTGTAGTCTGAATTTAAGGGAACAATCTCTTGAGTCAGCGCTTTGTAGATTGTAACAAGCATGCTGTCTGCAGATGACTCTGGCAGCCAAGATCAGATGGGGATATGTGTTGCATTTCATTTTTACCACTGATAACCACTGTGAATGCACTGAAGCTTGAGACACAACTTGAAGCACATGATAATGGAATCCTCAGTAAGGTGGGTCATGTAAGCACATAAACGTGGGCTTATTTTGCTTGGCAGATGATGAATACATGTCTGTTTTGGGGAATGTAGGAGTGTTTTTAAGCAGTGTAGCTGGTTTCAGCTGAAGGGTTGCAGATCCTCAGTTCATTTTCCCCACTAGAATGGGAGTAATTCTCTTAATTTTGTAGTGCTTTATAAATATTTTTCCTGCTTTGGAGCTTTCACCTCATCTGATACTCTTGACAGCAGACGCTTGTTTAAAGTCCAGAACATGAATTGCACAACTCTACCTCAGTGCTCCAGTATATTAATTTTTCATAGGGTCATCTCTTCTCACAAATGACCTCAAAAGTTAATTTTAAGGCGTTGGCAGGCTGATAACAGTGTCATATAAGTGCTGAATAAGTTTAGAGAGAGCATCAAGGGAACGTCTGTTTATCACAGATTGCTCTTGTAGCTCTTCTTTAAGTTAACTGATTTCATAGGCTTGTCCTTAACAAGACACTGCTCTGGGGCTTGCATTCGCTTTGCTGATTGTTAACTTACCCACATATGGAAAGAAAAGAGCTTGCAAAGAAGATGCATTTTCTTGTCCCTGTCCAGCTGTGAATAACACTTGATGCAAATCAAAAAAGCCTCCTCCTCCCTCCTCCAGTGAGGGTGGGGGAGAGCTGCTCCATACTTCCAGTTCACAGAACCCTTTGTCTCTCTGACAAAGCCCTCAAGCTGTGTAGGTGGGCACTTCCCACTGCTGCACTTGCCCAGCATGTTTGTCATGAGACAGTCAGAGAGGCAGAGCTTTGTTATTAGAAATATATATCACAGGTTCGTATTTTTTTTAATATAAATATGTCTCTTGGCTTGTTCCCTTAAATGTCTAAAGAACCCACTGGTGGTTTACAATAGGAGCTGTCAGTTCTTCTCTAAAGCTGTGGTGTAAATGGCTCCATACTGCAATAACTACATTTAGACGTACTGGCTACAGAGAACCTTTCTGATTCAGCCCACTCATCCTACCCAGTATTTGGAATTGTAAGCATTTCTTATGTCTGTGTTAAACAGGGGTCCTGGGTCCCAATGCTAAATATGGACTAACAACTTAGTACTTCCGCAGAGTAGGAAGAGATTAGTCCCATCTGTTCCCAAGAGCTCTGAAACATAGCATCCTTTTGATAATGCTTTTTATAAAGGGCTCCTCTTCTGTCCAAACAGGCAATCAAGTATGCGAATGAAAAGTGTGTGCATGCCCTTGCTTTGGCTTCCCCCCCATGAGATTGTATCACACAATGGACTTTATTTTTTTGCTCATGTGCTGGAGATGCATTGTGTAACCCTGGTTTTCAGCTATATATATACACTAGTAATTAGCTTTCTTTCCCACAGTTGATTTATCTTTTAGTAGTTGCATGGTGTACTGTTGACAAAACAGTTAGCTTCTGGTATTAAACTTACTGACTTGAATGTTTGGAAGCTGTACAGCTTGTTTTGCTTTCCTACATTGATTGCAGAATTCTGAAACGAGCACCCTGACAGTGCCTATACCTCAGCTGGTAGCTCAAAGGGTAGAATCCCATGGCTACTCCCAAATTCAGCTTAACCCAGTGAACCAGAGGTTCTGCCTAGTGACCCGTGTTGTGTTAGGGAAAGGAGTG